TATTTTCTGGTTTACTTGTTCTAGCAAAGATATCTTCATTTGAATAGGTTCCTCCAACAATTTTCGGCACCCTTTCCTTTTCTGTTGGAACCTGTGTTTTCCATGATAAATAAAAATCAAGAGACGAAGTACTAGCTGGTTTAATGATAAATTTATCTACATACATAATTGTCATATAAAAGAAATATTTAATTTGAATTCTACGAATCCAAACTTTGGTAAAAAACAATCGTTGATGAAAGATAATAATGGCTTGTCCACTCAGTGTCACTCATAGACATGAAACTGTAACACATACCTATAAATAGCAACGATATATATGATGAGTATGAAAGTGTTTTACTATGTATTCAAAATAATTTTCAATAAATAAGCAATTTTATAGCTGTGTAGTTTATTTATTTCACTTTCTACTTCTATTTTTGAGTACTGAGTACCACACCACCTGATATTTTATTGCTACTTCGCGCCTATTTCGTCCACGCGTTGTGATAGGATTAATAGAATCCTCGTTGTTCCTCCATACTAATTAAAGAATTGAATTAAAATTTTAATCTCCTTTATTTCTGTTTCTATTGAAACCATAATAACTTTTAAGATCTTCTATAAATTTTCGATTTATTTTGAATACAAAAATAAAAATTCCTTGTAATATAAAGGTTCCAATGAGTTCCAATATTTCCAGCCTCCCCAAATTTCTTTAATTCATTTCCTGGACTGGCAGGTACAGCCCCAGGTCCCGGATACCCACGGTTGGTGGATTCTCCTCATAGCGGGACCGGTTCACCCCATGGAACACCTCAACCGTCACCACCACCTTTGGCTATCAATAATTGTTCACCAATTTCGCATGGTGTTATTGAAAAACCAATCGGAACGGTTTCCGTCGCATATCAAGTAACTTATTTTTTTGTTTAATTTCTTATCAATAAAAGCGTCTTTTTCTTTTTATGCAAAATAGGAAAATGTGGGTGGAACGACGTATTTTTATCCAACGGCAGCTGATACTTCACATACGTCGAACGATTCAACGATGAGTTCGATTACAAATACAAGTGTTGGATCTGCGTACCAAGTTTACCCGGGAACGCCGAGTCACATTAGCTCGATAAAAACGAGGGGAACGAACAGTTCGTTTTTTATATCGGATGATGCTCGATTAGAAATACTGAGTCGAAATGCTTTGACGTTAGCTCAAAGTGATCCAGAACAATATCCAGGTAAATAGCTTTTTTTTTATACAGGCTGTTTTATGAGGAATGGTACATATGTTATAAAAATATGGTAAAAACATGTGCTCAATTCTCAAACATAACTGAGATACAGCCAGTTAATGCATAAACTGATTTATTTAAATGTGTACATAAAATATCGAAATTCGGAGCTTAACCCTTTGTGTCCCGACGGTACATTAAAGTACCGGTAATTTAAAGCACTCATTTTAAACTGTAGTCATCTATTCGACGCATATAGAGCTGTCGGTACTTTCTACTAGTGATGGGACGGTATTTGAGGAACGGTATTTTGGAGCGGTATTTTTGAAGAGCGTACCGCTTCCACGCGATTTTAAAATACCCGTTACAGAACGTTAATAATCTATGTAAATGTATATGTACTAATATATACTAATATATCTATAGAAGATGACATTGTTCTTACCAGTGCTAGTGAGGTACAGTTCTGTTCAAATATAATGCGAAAACAGCCGCTCGTAGAGGCATAAAATTGTAATAGAAACGACCTACGTTCACGAGGCATTCAATCCAGGTTTTACCTGCTCTGTAGTGCTGTAAAAGTTCCGAACAGGCAAGCGGGTTGATGTGATTTATGGCCAAGATGATTGAATCACAAAGAAAAATTAAGAAAATAAATAAGTATAAGCAATCCATTTACTTTACACAATTCCTGTAGTAAATGAAAATAATTACTAATAATTACTGTATTACTTTGGTAATACAGTGGAACGATGAGTCGAACCTCATAAGAAATGAAAATTATATATTGATAGTAAGTTATATATAAACTATAATATATTGAAATATATCGCAAACCATTTTAAATATAATAAAATCAAAAATCAATATAATAAAATATAATACTCCTATATAACAAAAAATATAATGATAAGCCTACACGTTCGGCAATTTCCCGTTTATCTATTCCTTCTTGATGAAGTGCAATAATTGCTCAATAAGTGCTAACTGCTTAAGAACACGGACAAATTTGAATGCACGTAATTTTTATATTGAATAATTCTATTTAAAATTTGAAGGAGAGTTTCATAAAGCTTTATTTATAAGTTTTATATTATATTAATTATATTACTGAGATTTTTATCTGACGTTTTATTTATAGAAATACTCTAAAATCATTTATTAGAGGAACATATAAAAAATCGTATATTTGTTGTTCTTAAAAATATCAAAAAAGATTTAAAATAAAATAAAATTAACTAACACATTTAAAAAAATGGTGATCCATTCTTCGGCCCACTTCAAACTGGGAGGGTTTTACTTGGGTTAAGGAAGAGGGTAACTTCCTTTATTCTCAGAAATCGAATTGAATAGAAACAAAAGATGTCTCCGTCTTCTTCCAGTACCAGCGTCATGTCGGAGCTAACAGCGGACGATTCGCATTAAATCTGAACAGAGCTGTACTAGCTATACTAGAAGATGAAGAAGTAGAACTAACTAATCAAAATGAGGAAAGTGACGCTGAAGTAGTAGAAATACGTGACAAAGCACCCAAGAAGAAGAACAAGGCAGAAATTGATAGAAAATGGAAAAAACGGAAAAAACAGACTGAAATTCCAGGATACGATTATCCAGAGGGAATAATTGGTGATACTATTGCAACTTGCAATAATCCTACAGACTATTTCCTAACACTGATGGGTAACTGTGTGAAAGATATTACCTTTCAAACGCTAAAGTTGAAAGAAGAAGAGTTACTGTGTTTGATTGGCATAAATTTCTTAATGAGTTATCACAGTTTGCCAAGCTATAAACTCTTCTGGAATAATGCTGAAGACTTGGGTGTACCACTTATCATACGAACAATCACCCATAACAGGTTTCAGGAGATTTGATCATATCTGCATGTCAACGATACAGCATTATTCCTAAAAACAATACGGATAAACTATACATGATTCTCCAGTTATAATCATGGCATTAGGCAGTCGGTTGTGGAGGAATCCATGACAATCTTCAAAGGGAGGTCAAGTATAAAACAATTCAATCCCATGAAGGCCATACATGAAAAAGGGGTTATAAGCTCTGGTGCTTAGCAGATAAGAAAGGGTACATAAACAAATTTGATGTGTATCAGGGAAAATCACCTGAAATTGAAGAAAAATTTGTTCTTCAACTTACGGATCTTTTGGAGAAACTGAAAATTGAGAAAACATTAGCTTGTGAAACAACAAGGTCTACAAAAAAGGTGCACCAAAAAATTTTGTTAGATGATAAACGAATGAAAAGAGGAGATTATGATTACCGGATATCAAATTTAGATATAAGTTATTAGTGTTATTACAAATGGAAGGACAGTAAGTGGGTGAAATTTTGCTCTAATTTTCATGGAACAGAAGACACCACAGTAAAAAGGAAGCAAAAGAATGGAACGAAAATTGATGTGCGCTGTCCTTCAGTCGTTGATGATTACAATAAAAACATGAGTTCGGTAGATCATGCCAATCAACTTCGTCAACTTACTGACGACGTAATACTTGGCAACCGTGGTTCACACTGGATTACTTTTGGAAAAGAAAGTGGAAGGTGTGAAAATTGTTCTGCCAAAGCTATTTAGTCACTCAAAATGTACTGCGTGCAAAGTTTATTGATGTTGTAATGAAAAAAACAACTGTTTTTCTGAATATCATGATGTGATTTAGCTAAAGCAAGTGTTAGTTATTTTCTAACGTAATCAAAAATGTATTATTTTTATATTAGCAATAAAACGTATTGTATATTGCAACATCACCAAAATATATTTTAATACCTGACGGTACTCTCAAGTACCATTATCCTCCTGGACTGGGGGGATTGTCATATTTTGCTAAAATTGGGACACCAAGGCGAGCAGAAAGGCTTCTTGTAGTGGTAGATGGACTTCGTTCTACCGACTAAAGAAGTTGTTCAACTTCATTCAGAGTTTGCACACTTGCGCGTTGAGAAGGAATACTTGTAATTGGAACAGAACCGGTTTTATGCAATCTATTGAATGTTCGAGTAAATGCTCTTGAATTGTGCATTTCCAGAAACCGCAACAAAACACATATATTCTGCATTAGTCAATATGTGTGGCATTAAATGTCAAACATTGACGAATGACTGGTTCACATCAGCCGTGCGTGATATCAATTTATGCATTACCTGGCTGTATCTCAGTTACCTTTGAGAATTAAGAACATGTTTTTAGGAACTTTTCTGCTTAAAATGACCAAATCTATAACATATTAATGTATGTACCATTCCTCATGAAACACCATATTTATTTCGAGTTATTTTATTTTAGATCTCCCACAAGAAGTTGATAATTATCACGATTTATGTCCTCTTGAGCCGATTCCAAATAATACACTACAAAAGGCTCACCTCGGATATCAAGCGTCGATGTACAAGGCTACCAACGTAAAAACAGGTCTTAGATATTGCTTAAGAAGGATTCATGGTTTTCGTTTGCAAAATACGAAATGTATGACGTATGTTGACCAATGGAAAAAACTCGTGCATTCCAATATTGTTCAATTGAAAGAAGTTTTTACTACTAAAGTGTTTAATGATAACTGTATGTATAGCTTTTTATATTTAACGGGAATTTTAAATTCTCGGTCAAAATTAATTAAAAAAATCAATATTGATTGATTAATTTGTTTTTTTAATTAGCTCTTGTTTTTGTTTACGATTATCACCCGGGTTCGGAGACTCTTCTAAGCAAACACTTTACCCCGGACCAGTTAAATGGGTACACAGATCCTTTTGCCAATGATCCATCACCGAGACCATACAGTCAACAAAAAAACAATATCTTAAGACACCAGCAAAGCAACAGACTTCCAGAATCGCTTATATGGAATTATATTATTCAGCTAACTTCCGCGCTAAGGATTATTCATTCTGCTGGTAAGTGTTAAAAACCATTAATGATATTTTAAAATGAGCACTCATACAATAAGAGTGTCTTCAAAACAAAGAATTAAAATAAAAATAATAGTTTTACTTCTTTCGGTTTTCAGCGACCATTTTCCAATTCTTGATCTTTTCTTGGGCAATAATGTATCAAGTCTTCGCTTCCTATTAAGTCAGTTAAAAATTCTTTTTCTTCGTGTTTCCTCCTCCTCTATCACTGATCCGAATATTTTACGGAATATTTTTCTTTCAAAGACACGAAGGGCGTTTTTGTTCTTCTACAAATTCAAGGACTCTGCTCCAACTGGTCTAACTGGTCTTATACATTTTCAGTTTGACTCCCTTGGTATATCCTTTGACTTAAATATTTTAATATATGTATATATTTGGTTAAATTATGGTTTTATTGATGTTTCGTCAAAAGTTGAACAAGAGAAGCTAGATCAACTATTAGCTAGGGTTGTTTATGCTACAGGTACTTCATTTGCCATTGTTGAAAATAATCGCTGGCAATCATTTTTCAAACATTTTCAAACCATCTTTGCCTGCATGTTATTTATTATCAAATAACTTACTGGACTTTGAGTATGAAAAAGTTAATACTTAAAAGTGATACTTAACTTCATTAGCACTACACCAAACTCTTCATAAACCTTTGCCAACAAATATTTGTCGACATACCGCAGAATATATTGCTAAAAAATCCATAAAATTTTGAAAGAAGTTGGTATTAAAAAATTCTTTGCTATAGTAATCCACAATGCCAGTGCAATGGTTATAGCAAGAAATATACTTCATGGAAAGTACAAATATATTTCTGTTTATGGATGCATTGCTCATATGCTAAATTTGTTCTATTATCTATTCCATGATCTATTATCATGGAAGATGTTAAGGCTGTCATCAAAGAAATTAACAATTCTCACATATTATTGGCTACTTTCAAAAAAAATGCAAACTAAAAGAAATGACACCAGAGCAGTCATTTCCTTAAAATTACCTGTGAAAACACGATGGAGATCAATTATTCATAGTTTAAAAAGTCTTCTTGATACACAATATGCATTAAAAACATTAGTAGGTTGTGAAACAGTTGAAGATATACTCAGTAAACGAGTTGCAAAGTTGATATTGGATGAGGATAATTTTTGGGTAAAAGTTTCAATCTTTTATCACTGAATAAACCCTTTTATTAAATACATAACCCAACTGAAAGGAGATAAACCAAGGTTACCGCAAGTAGCTGAATGGTTTTATGAGTTGGAAAGTCATTTTGAAACATGGCATAAATCCAATCCATTTTGCTGCAAATATTTCTAGATCCAAATTTTAATGGAATTCATCTTAATAGAGAAGAACAAATACAAGGAACAGAGTTTATAGACAATATGGCTACTGTAAGAAGCCCAAATGAGTCTGCAGAGGTAATGGCAGAATTGGCCCTTTATAGATCTAAAGAAGAGTTTATTTGAAAAACCATACAGTGATACAATAAAGTCTACATACAGCCCGGAAAATGATAATATCTCAGCGCCAGAAATGTAATTCAATGAATTTTTTTAACAAAACATGTAAGAAGTCCATATTATTTCCATATTTTACATAAAAACTATATAAGTTATTATTAATCAAGGGGAACACAAAACATAATCATATCTTTAACTCAAAAAAGTCTGCATACAGGTCCTCCATAGTATTTATATCCTCCATAGTATTTATTTCTTTAAATATGAACCATGCCACGTTACAGCCGTCAGACTGAATTCGCAGAACTGTATTTGTATTTAAAAGATTGGCAGTAAATATCTCTACAATCCTCCCATAGCTTCTAGCCATTACCAGTAAAGTCTTTCTTTTTAGTTTATAAGAGGGCACATATATCTATATTATGCATTTCTATTTCCATGATGATTTCCTGATCTTTACTGTTCCAAGATGTTGCGTTCCACGTCTCAATTCTAAGCACATTGTGTTAACTAATTATCGTACCCGACTTCATCATTGCAAGTATGCAACCAATATCACAGTATTGGTATTGCAATACGCAAATCGCGTATACTGTGATATTGGTTGCATACTTGCAATGATAAGGTGGGGTACAATAATTAATTAACACACTTTATGTTTATTTTAAGAGTTATGTGAAAGTTCAGTTAGCATTTCCAGGTTCGGACTGGCATCGCTATTCACTTCATTCCAAACATCTCCCATCAAAGGCAAAGTCTATAACTTTTTATTTAAATTAATTCTTATATTTAGGTTTGGCATGTCGGAGTTTAGATCCAACAAAAATCATCATAACATCCGGTAACCGGCTCAGATTAAGCTGTTTGGGCGTGATGGACGTAATCATGAGCGATACAAGTTCGACGGGAAACGCCAGCGCTTTAATTCAACATTATCAACAAGACGATTTGTCGGCTTTGGGGAAACTGGTTTTGGCGCTAGCTTGTAAATCGACGATGGCCGTTCAAAGGGACAACATCACCACGGCTTTAGAACTTGTCACTCGCACATATACAGCTGATTTACGCAATCTCATCATGTAACATAATTTTAAAAATTAATCACATTTTCATTAATTTCTTAACTTTTAAGGTATTTACTAACGATGGCTGCAAGGAGAAGCGTCACGGATTTAATGCCTATGATTGGTGCTCGTTTTTACACGCAATTAGATAATATTCAGTCTCGTACGGACGTTTTGGAAAATGAAGTGTCGAAGGAGATGGAAAATGGACGTTTATTCAGGTTATTGGTGAAGTTAGGGACGATTAATGAACGTCCGGAGTAAGTAAATAAATTAATTATTAGCATAAGATATTACTTTGTTGTATATTTTTATTGAACTAAAACTAGAAGGAAAACTAGAAAGATTCGGGTTTAGTCGTGAAAAAAACTTTTAGTTGTCAATTTCAACTTTAATTTTCCAAACAATTTAAGTCGAAACTTGACGCATTTATCTCACAAAACCAAAAAGTTCGAACTTTTAATTTTGACATATTTGTCAACTTCATAAAAAATCCTTTAAAATGAGTCCAAACTCGATATATCTAACTTTAATATTAATGGAGATGCAATCACTTCCGGGTTTGAAACGTCAACGTCAATTTTGACATATTTGTCATCTTCATTAAAAAAACCTTTAAAATGAGTCCAAAGATGACGCACTTATCTCAAAAAAGTTAGAATAAAAAACGTTAAACCCGAAGTTAGCAACAATGAAGATAGCAATTCAATTTTTAAATATTAATACCAACCTTAATTTTTATTATATTTTTGTGACAACTATTAAGACATTTTATAAAAATTAAGAATATGTCAAAATGACATTGACATTTCAAACCGGAAGTTGCTTATACCTCGAGTAATATTAAAATTAAACGTACCATGTTTGGACTCATTTTAAAGGATTTTTCACGACGATTACAAATATGTCAAAATTGACGTTGACATTCTTAACCGGAAGTTGACCATAACTTCATTAATATTGAAGATAAATATGTCGTGTTTGTACTCATTTTAAAGGAATTTTAATGAAGATTATAAATATGTCAAAATTGAGGTTGACATTTTAAACCTGAAGTTAGTTATCATATAACAGACAAATGGATAACTTCATGGTGTTCTTTCATGATGTATTCTTTATTAAAAAAACCTTTAAAATGAGTCCAAACAAGACGCAATTATCTCAAAAAACAAAAAAGTTAGGATAAAAAACATTAAATCCTAAGTTAGAAACAATGGAAATAGCATTTCAATAATACCAACCTTAATTTTTTATTGTTTTTTATTATAATTTTGTTTTTGTGACAAATATTAAGACATTTTATAAAAATGAAGAATATATCAAAATGACATTGACATTTCAAACCGGAAGTTGCTTATACTTCGAGTAATATTGGAACTAAACGTATCATGTTTGGACTCATTTTAAAGAATTTTTCACGATGATTACAAATATGTCAAAATCGACGGTGACATTCTTAACCGGAAGTTGACCATAACTTCATTAATATTGAAGATAAATATGTCGTGTTTGTACTCATTTTAAAGGATTTTTAATGAAGATTACAAATATGTCAAAATTGAGGTTGACATTTTAAACCTGAAGTTATTTATCATATAATAGACAAATGGATAACTTCATGCTGTTCTTTCATGATGTATTCTTTATTAAAAAAAACCTTTAAAATGAGTCCAAACAAGACGCACTTATCTCAAAAAACAAAAAAGTTAGAATAATTATTAGATTAGATTACAAATATGTCAAAATTGACGTAGACATTCTTAGCCGGAAGTTGACCATAACTTCATTAATATTGAAGATAAATATATCGTGTTTGTACTCATTTCAAAGGATTTTTAATGAAGATTACAAATATGTCAAAATTGAGGTTGACATTTTAAACCTGAAGTTAGTTATCATATAATAGACAAATGGACAACTTCATGGTGTTCTTTCATGATGTATTCTTTATTAAAAAAACCTTTAAAATGAGTCCAAACAAAACGCACTTATCTCAAAAAACAAAAAAGTTAGAATAATTATTAGATTACAAATATGTCAAAATTGACGTTGACATTCTTAACCGGAAGTTGACCATAACTTCATTAATATTGAAAATAAATATGTCGTGTTTGTACTCATTTTAAAGGATTTTTAACGAAGATTACAAATATGTTAAAATTAAGGTTGACATTTTAAACCTGAAGTTAGTTATCATATAATAGACAAATGGACAACTTCATGGTGTTCTTTCATGATGTATTCTTTATTAAAAAAACCTTTAAAATGAGTCCAAATAAGACGCAATTATCTCAAAAAACAAAAGAGTTAGAATAATTATTAGATTAGATACAAATATGTCAAAATTGACGTTGACATTCTTAACCGGAACTTGACCATAACTTCATTAATTTTGAAGATAAATATGTCGAGTTTGTACTCATTTTAAAGGATTTTTAATGAAGATTACAAATATGTCAAAATTGAGGTTGACATTTTAAACCTGAAGTTAGTTATCATATAATAGACAAATGGACAACTTCATGGTGTTCTTTCATGATGTATTCTTTACTAAAAAAAACCTTTAAAATGAGTCCAAGCAAGACGCACTTATCTCAAAAAACAAAAAAGTTAGAATAATTTTTAGATTAGATTACAAATATGTCAAAATTGACGTTGACATTCTTAACCGGAACTTGACCATAACTTTATTAATTTTGAAGATAAATATGTCGAGTTTGTACTCATTTTAAAGGATTTTAATGAAGATTACAAATATGTCAAAATTAAGGTTGACATTTTAAACCTGAAGTTAGTTATCATATAATAGAAGTTTTATAACTGAAGTTAATCTAGTGTTAGTCACTTTTCCGCACTTTCTTTTTATTTTTAATGTATTTTTTGGGTTATTTTATATTGATTAAAAAAAATCGTCGATTTTTAAACCACATGATGATTCTTGAATTTTTCTCAAGTTCCTTAATACTACCTCTGTTCCATAATAAGTGAGCCATTATAGTATTTTAAAAGTACTAGTACTATATTTATTCTTCAAAACAAAACACAAAATGTTAATGTAAACGAATAATAGGCAATAATAATTATTGTTTCCATNTCACGACGATTACAAATATGTCAAAATTGACGTTGACATTCTTAACCGGAAGTTGACCATAACTTCATTAATATTGAAGATAAATATGTCGTGTTTGTACTCATTTTAAAGGATTTTTAATGAAGGTTAAAAATATTTCATAAAAATATTTTGATATCTCTCATAATTGCTGTGAAAAACGGGTTCGACAATTTGCAAGGGCTTAATGAAATGAAATTAATGATTTATGTTCGATTTAGGTTAAATTTGGATGGAACATGGAGTGAAACTGGGGATAGATATATGTTGAAGCTCTTCCGTGATTATGTTTTCCATCAGGTTACTGAAGAAGGTCGACCTTGGCTAGATATGGCTCATGTTGTGCAGTGTTTAAATAAATTAGACACTGGTGCTCCAGAAAAGGTAATAATATTAATTATTTAACATAAACAAAAGCAAAAAAAAATAATAAATAATGTTGTAGGTTTGTTTGATGTCGAGAGATGAACAAAGTATATTGGTTGTGAGTTACGCCGAATTGAAACATTGCCTCTTGCAATCTTTTGATGAGATCCTCAATGTCTCAGTTTCGACGTCGGAAAATAACGTCTCGTAGAAAATCAGAAAGCCGTCATCTTCTCGTCGATGAGTAATTAAAAAAGGCAGCAGCAGGAAAATGGTAAAGTTAGAGAAAAATAATTATTAAAAAAGAATTTTTTGGGTGGGTGAAAAATGATTGGGTTTAGGCAGTAAACGTAAATAATGTAATTTCGCCAAATCTAAGTACAAATGAAGAAAAAACATTTTTATAATTAACGAAAAGTGAAAAATATCAACCAACGGGTAACAAATAAAAAGAATTAATTAAAGGAAAATTCAATTTTCTGTCCGTACAAGAAAAGAAAAAAACGAAAAAAATTTTTTTTCACTTAAATAGAATTAAAAAATACGTGTCTACTTAGAAATAAACGTTTCTTTTTTCTTCTTTTTGCATATCCTTGTCGTAAGAAAAGAGAAAGTTCGAAAAGATGTAATTAATTTTTTAAGATAAAAAGATGATGAGAAAATCATGAAAAGTAATTGTGATACTTTTTTTTTCGATTATTGTAAAGAAAGGTTTATTTCAATAAAGTTATTCTTTATTAAACCCAATCATTTTTTTTCCTACTCCAAACAAAAATTTTTGAAATACTACAAAAATAAACTAAATGGGATAAAAATAAATAAAAACGTACATTAAAATAAAAAATAAAAATAGTACAATATACAGTACCACTGATTAAAGATTAAAAAATAATTAAAAAAAAAAAAAAAAAAACGAATTGATATTTGTATTAAATTTAGAATTTTTAGTATTAAAAAATTTTTAGATGAGAAAAAAAATAGTAAAATGGGACAATATTTTTTAATTTTTATTACGTAATTATTTTAATTTTTAATTCTTTTTAGTGTAACAATTTTTTTTGCTTTAATCCGTGGTATTCTACTTCTCCTAAAAAAAGACGACGAATTGATCTGTATATTTTGTTATTATTTTAACGTTAAATGTGATTTAAAGTGTTAAGCAAATCTCAAAAGAAAAGATATAATAAAGCCCCCCCCCCAAAAAAAAAAAAGTAAACGCGTTGTTGGCAGGATACTCAATAATAATGATATTTTTGGGAATTTCTACTACTATTTTCGTTCGTGTACAACAACAAACTAAAATAAAATAATGATATGGAATAATTTCTAATTTCATTTAAAAAAAAAATAAGAAGATACAAAATAATAAATAAATCGTGCGATGTACTTTTTTATTTGTAACACTGTATATTATAGTATTACGCTATAAATTATTTTCAATAAAGATGTTTATAATATTTTTTTTATTTTTCTATTGCAACTTTAAATATTTATTACTCCGAACATTAATTAATCCTTTCGTTCCAGTTTTATTTATCCTTTCATTCAACAAGATTTACGAAAAAATATTTTTTTTCTATAGCTTAGAACCGGATAATTACGCAACTTGGAACTTCATAGATTAATCTCCAATCTTTTAATTGGTTGTGTAACTTATCCTAAAAGCAAGTTTAAGCGTTTTAAGAAATATTTGAGATAAAATAATATGTAATGCAAAGAAATTGAAGAATTAATTAATGATTAAGTAAACAACAACAACTGTATTGATATACAGCTGTTTCGATGACTCGGGGAATAAATTTAACCACATATACTAGAGTGAAAATGATGACGATTCATGTAAAAAAAAATTAGTAAAAGTCTTCAAATTTCAAAGATCAGGCCATCAAAGTTAGCAAATTTTAACACATTTTTCCAAATATCTTAAACACTATTTAAAGTAAAGCGCTGAAATTTGGTACAGTATAAATCAATGTCATGTAAAACCTGTTAAGCAATTTATGAGTTGGATCGGTCCGCGAGCACAATGCTATATCGGCTGTTCCTAAAGTTTGTTTGCTCAGAGCTTTTTATTCTATCATAACCCTACATTAATTTTTGCAGTTTCTAATAGTAAATTTAGTTTAGAAACTTTTATTACTCTTAAGCACCCTTCACACGATCAATATATATTGTCTATAAAATATTGTCAATATGGCCAATAAATATTGACAAACTGTAATTGCCTCAGGTTATCAATATTTATTGACAATCTACTTAGTTTTGTGTTGACATTCAAAGATGTCATACCGTCAAAAAGTTTGTGTAGTTATTATTTTAGCTTTAACAATAGAACGCTGGAAGAAAAAAGAGAATATGGGCTAGGGAATGGCTTCTAAAGAGAGACGTTTTCTCAAATGAATTTGTTGAATGAGGTTTGCGTATCTACTCCAAAAGATTTTCAAAACTTCTTTCGCATGACTAACGCTTGTAGGAGTGTCAATATTTATTGTCAATATATCAAATATTTTCGTTTTCGTCAAACCATCCCATCAATATTTTCCATATGTCAATATGGAAATATAATATGTCAATCTTTCTACTCACACGTTCAATAATATTGTCAGTACTCAGATATTGACAATATATATTGATCGTGTGAAGGGCGCTTTAGATAATATTGGTAAAAATCACCATTTTCGTGTTAAATGCAAAAATGTTGGGTTCCGATTTCAATAATAGCACTAAAAAAATCTAAGTTTTTGAACATTTTTTTAGTATTTTTTATTACTTGTCTTGTTAGTTTATGTACTTTTTTTTATTATTCCTGTTAGTGTTGTCGTTTTTTTGTTTATTTTTAATTTATTGTTTTTGGATTCTTTTATTAAACCAACTAAAAGAAATTAAAAATGTGATTTAGCTAAATCTACACTTGGCATGTTGCATACATAATAGTTATGACAGCTGAGTTGGATTTTCACTTGCCGTTGCCAATTCAAATTATTTATTTATTTATTTTTTAGTGTTATTGAATTCGGAGCCTAACATTTTTGCATTTAATATGAAAACGGTGTTTTTTTATCAATATTCTCTACGAATGATAAAAGTTTTTAAACTAAATTTACTATTAGAATGTATAGTTATGATAGAATAACAAAGTTCTGAGCGAACAAACTTTAGGAACAGCCTGTATAGCATTGTTCCCGAGTACCGATCTAACTCAAAAATTGCCTAATGATTTTACCTGATATTAGTTTACAATGTACCAAATTTCAACGCTTTACCATAAATAGTGTTTAAGATATTTAGAAAAATGTGTTAAAATTGCTTATTTTTGAAGGCCTGTATCTTTGCAATTTGAGGCCTTTTACTAATTCTTTTTTACATGAATTGTCATTATTTTCACTCTAGTATATGTGGTTACATTTGTTCCCTGAGTTACCGAACCACCCTGTATACATAATTAAATCGTTGCAAGAAAGTTTTCAAGATATGTATACAGGATGAGTTATTAGTATCCCGGCGGTCGATAGTTACTAAACCGTTTAAAAACAAAAAAATATTTTATAAAAAAGTTGTTTGACTCATGACTTTCTATAGACTGCCTAAGTCTGACGTCACAGGGTGGGCGGAGCTTATACTGATTCCAAACAATTTCGTTGCCAACAATAAATCGCCAAAAAATGTCATTTGAAATGTCATCACTTAGTTTATTTTATTTTAACACTAATCGAAAATTGCATATGGTGATTTACCGTTAGCAACACAATTAGCAACGAAAATGTTATATATTAGCAACATTCTGTATATTGTGTGCTAGTTGAATGGGGTCATACACGATTTTTTTTTTATTATATTTTCTGAAAGTTTATATAAAAATATAGTTACCGTTATTTTTTTTTTATATTTTCGAACNCTGTTAGTGTTGTCGTTTTTTTGTTTATTTTTAATTTATTGTTTTTGGATTCTTTTATTAAACCAACTAAAAGAAATTAAAAATGTGATTTAGCTAAATCTACACTTGGCATGTTGCATACATAATAGTTATGACAGCTGAGTTGGATTTTCACTTGCCACTACCAATTCAGATTATTTATTATTTTTTTTTTTGTGTTATTGAATTCGGAGCCTAATATTTTTGTATCTAATATGAAAACGGTGTTTTTTTATCAATATTCTCTACGAATGATAAAAGTTTCTAAACTAAATTTACTATTAGAAACTGCAAAAATAAATGTATAGTTATGATTAGAGACCGGATAAAAAAGTGTAAAAAAACTGGAAAAAAGTGCTTAAAAAAGCATGAAAATCTTAAACAAAAAGTTCCTAAAAGGCATACAATCTGTTAAAAAAGCATAGAATAAACAAAATTAAGCAAAAAACGATAATAGAGAAAATAAATAAAAATTTGTTATAATGATGATAATAATATATTTAATATTTATATTTTACAATTTATTGCGTTTACATATCTGGAAAAACTACATTCAACATCTACACTTGTTATTGGTGCATATTTAAATTTTGGTATAATCGCTGGATCTATTTCAAAATCGCAATGTTCCGCACCATTTAAAATAGNAATTATTTCGTTTGAATATTTGCTATTTTTCACTTCAAATTACGCAAAATATAAAATTGATCAAAATATTTCTTTTACTTTGTGTTCATGCATATACTTGCATATATCGTTTGACATAAAAATTTTCTCTAAATTTAATAAGTGTGTATGACCCCATTGCTCATCAAGTTCCCTTTAACGTCGATCGCGATCGCGAAGGTTAGTTTTAAAATGTAAAAAAAGATTTTAAACCCTTCGGTCGTTTTTGGCAAGATATTTATATAAAAAGTCGATCTTGGTCAAAAATTAGTGGACACCACTGCTGTATGGCGTATCTAATATCTTTGGTTACTATCAATTATCTACTGACTTCAATGCCATTCATAATATAATAAAATGTATAGGGTGATCCATTTAAAAAAATCTACATACTCTCCGTTACGCATAAATGGAACATTCTGTATAAGTGAAAATAATTTTACATTTATAAAAAGTTGTGTCAAACAACTTTTGTATAAAACAGATTTTTCTTTCTCAAACGGTTTAGCAACTATCGTCCGTCGGGATACCAATAACTGTACCAACTAAACGAAACATACGTTTGCCTTAAGGTGTCATAACCAAACGTATCTATCAATTGTTTCCATAGCATACTACCTGAACAGTTTGCAAATTAATAGAATAAATGGCTATAATTTATTTATTAATAAAAATATCCATGTCAAAAGCTCATTAAATTGAGTTCATGAAACTGCAATTCTTTTCCTATTTAATCGTCTCTCTATCTCCGCTAGTTTTCGAGATCTCCATACTAAACCTGGAAAAAAACTTATCCTGTATATATATACAGGGTGTCTCAGCGAGACCGGTCATTAGACGTTTCTGGGGTTCTGGCCAAACCAAAAATTTGAGAATGCAGACTTAAGTATTATCAATTACGTTCTCTTCATCTAAAATATTTTCAGATTTCTAGCACTTCCGGTTATACCGGAAGTCGCCACCTACTTTATTTTTTTAAATGGAACACCCTGTATATTTTTACATATTTGGATTTGTCTGTTTTGAAGGTTTATAAATAACTTTCCTTTTTGCAATTTGATTCGGCCGTTCTCGAGATATTTGATTTTTTCTAGAAAAATCTGCTCCAGCGGACATTTGTTAAAAAAATCATAGAACACTCAATTTTTGAGATATCAATTTAGGATTCAGAACATGCTTAAACAACATGATGGAGTATGTTTTGGTGCCGAGAACGGCTGTCTAAAACATTTGGTCACTTTACTATNTTGGGGTGCCATTTAAAAAAATGAAGTTATGGTACTTCCAAAATTTGAAAAGTTAACGTGCCATAGTAAAGTGACCAAACGTTCTAGACAGCAGTTCTCGGCACCAAAACATACTCCATCATGTTGCTTAAGCATGTTCTCAATCCTAAATTGATATCCCAAAAATCGAGTGTTTTCTGATTTTTTGAACAAATGTCTGCTGGAGCAGATTTTTCTAGAAAAATTCGTATAACTCGAGAACAGCTGAATCAAATTGCAAAAAGTAAAGTTATTTATAAACCATGAAAACAGACAAATCCAAATATGTAAAAATATACAGGTGTTCCATTTAAACAAATAAAGTAGGTGGCGACTTCCGGTATAACCGGAAGTCGTATACCTGTATAGTGCGGGAAGTTAGCCCCCCATTTTTTATTTTAAAATTTTTCATTGTTGTTCTAGATTGTTCTAGAGTTGTTCTACATTGTTCGAAAGCGGCAAATAGAAAAACTAAAAACACGACGAGAAAAATCGAAAACACGGGTTTTTTGACTAGTTCCCTATTTTTGGAAAAATCAGATTTTCTTTGTTGTTCTGGGTTGTTCTAGTTGTTCATAATAACNCTACGAAAATCCACGAGGGTATGCGATAACAGCCGATCGACGTCCGAATGTACGGATGGATGCCCTGTCGATGATCTATCCGGCCGGTCGGACGGTCGATTCGACGCGGAGCGGAACAGTGTAGCCGGGTACATTTGAAAACACAGGGAGCATTCCATCGGAATACTTTCTGCGCGGATCTGATCGGCGCGGATCCGGGTAGTGTAGCCGCTCCTTTAGCCGCACGTCTCTCAAGACGGCTAAACCCGAATGTAGTTTTAACTCTTTATTTCTTGAGTTTAATAACACTTGTTTAGTGTTTAAATATGTAATTATTAATACAAATATTATTATACATTATATTAATAATAAATTATAATAATATAGTGCGGGAAGTTAGCCACACATTTTTTATTTTTAAATTTTTCATTGTTGTTCTAGATTGTTTAGAGTTGTTCTACATTGTTCCAAAGCGGCAAATACAAAAACTAAAAACACGACGAGAAAAAACGGGTTTTTTGACTAGCTCCCTATTTTTGGAAAAATTTGATTTTCTTTGTTGTTCTGGGTTGTTCTAGTTGTTCATAATAACTGAAAACCCTGCAAACCCATCGACATTTGGACACCTATACAGTGTGTTAATTAATTATCGTACCCGACGTAATAATTGCAAGTATGCAACCAATATCACAGTGCAATACGCAATATTGTGATATTGGTTGCATACTTGCAATGATGACGTCGGGTACAGTGTTGCCATATCGATGGTATTATCTCTTTTTAGGGAATTTTTACCACCTGAAGGGAAAAAGGGAATCTTTACGTAAAAAAGGGAATTTTTGTCTATTGGTCACAGACATTTCGCACCTATAAAATATAAGAATACATAAAATATACCTATAAGAATAGACTACACTTCACTTAACAAGCTTTTTTTTTTGGTGGAAATTTTGGTGGCTACTTCACTAGACAGAACGGGAATATTGCTGCTGCAAAGGTGGCAACACTGGTCGGGTACGATAATAATTAACACACTGTATATTATATATTTTTCTTCCAATGACGTCACGTTTCCTACGTTATCCCGTCAGTTTGTTGGAGTTGGATAATTTTATAACTAATACTCAACGGACCTTGCCTAAGAATGTTTATGTGACTTATTAAAAATGTTTATTAATGTCATTGTAACTGTCATTTAAATGTCACTTTTGACATTTAAAATGATAAATTGAACAAAAAACCATTAATGTGNTTGGAAAAATCAGATTTTCTTTGTTGTTCTGGGTTGTTCTAGTTGTTCATAATAACAGAACCCTGCAAACCCATCGACATTTGGACACCTGTACAGTGTGTTAATTAATTATCGTACCCAACGTCATAATTGCAAGTATGCAACCAATATCACAGTGCAATACGCATCATACGCAAATCGCGTATTGCCATACCATTATTGTGATATTGGTTGCATACTTGCAATGATGACGTCGGGTACAGTGTTGCCATCTCGAGGGAATTATTCCTTTTTAGGGAATTTTTACCACCTGAAGGGAAAAAGGGAATCTTTACGTAAAAAAGGGAATTTTTGTCTATTGGTCACAGACATTTCGCATTTATAAGAATACACTACATTTCACTTAACAAGTTTTTTTTTTTTGGTGGGAATTTTAGTGGTTACTTCACTAGACAGAACGGGAATATTGCTGCTGCAAAGGTGGCAACACTGGTCGGGTACGATATTTAATTAACACACTGTATATTATATATTTTTCTTCTAATGACGTCACGTTTCCTACCTTATCCCGTCAACGTCAGTTTGTTGGAGTTGGATAACCTTATAACTAATACTCAACAGACCTTGCCTAAGAATATTTGTGTGACTTATTAAAAATGTTTATTAATGTCATTGTAACTGTCATTTAAATGTCACTTTTGACATTTAAAATGATAAATTGAACAAAAAACCATTAATGTGACATTTGCACCAATTAATGTTGGAAATTGAAATTAAAAATAAATTATATGTACTTCTTTATAAATTAACACACCACAATACACCTATTGGTTAGATAACCAAATATACATATCTTAAAAACACCTAAGACATCTTGACGTCACCACCTGTATGTTTACGTTAAAAAGCTACCTGTTCGCGATCCAACTACCGCTTTTTAACAGGTAAAGTTTTAATTCAATTTATTTCATTAAAAACGAAAAATTTTTGAGTTAATCTCCCCCTCTATTATTACTCACTCTACGATCGTTCCAATTAACGTTAATTGACTAAGAACGACTCATAGTTAAAGAGATTCTTTATAACCACGCCTGTTATGCGTCGTAATTGTTTGGAAAGGTGTGGTTCGTGGCGTTATAACGTTCATCGATTCGTTTTGTTTCGTTTATTTTAGATAGAAGATGTGCAATGGAGGATTTGTATAGTTATTATAATCAGAAATTTCGAGATAAAGGCCAATTCGGGGATTTTTCTACGTTTTATATTGTTATAGCGGTAGTTACGATAATCGCCGCGATTATTTTTATAATAAACATCGTTTTGGGGTGTTGTTCCGAATACAGTGAATATTGGAACGATCGACATACAGGTGAGAAAAATTAATAACTTTAAAATTATATGGATATATAATTTTTTTTAATTTTAGGAAATCGATTTATAATTTCTTTGTGGACAAGCACACCGCATCAACAACCGCCGTTAGATTATACTGAATTAAACACAGATCATTTACCCCAAATTGTTCTCTACGAAACTCAAGAACAAACTTATCAATATAGTAACGTTGAGTATAACCAATCGACTGAACAGGTGGCTCAACCTAAAAAAGAATCTCCCACAAAATATTTTGAGATGCAAAAGAGAGAAAGTGATATTTAATATTTGAGAATTAATTCATATCATATTAATAATTAATTTGTATTGTTAAAAAAAATTAAGGTTAAAAATGTTACATGTATATTGGCCAGTTACAGCTTGTTTAACTTTGGTTCTTATTGTGGGGGTGATAATGACCATTCTTAAATATGGTCCAAAGTTGTGTAAGACAAGGCACTATGCTTACACGCGAGAAGATGAGCATTATCAGCCCCCAAGAGAGATAATTTAAGAGATGTAAGAAAGAATCTCATTTAAATCCGTCCGTACTTTTTAACAACATTTTATTAACTTAGGATACATATTTTTTTGTATCATCTTAAAGAAAATGAATATTTTAAAATTAGTACAAACGCTATTTAATTTCATAAAAATAATCTTGGTTGTTTTTAAGAATAATGTTCGTGCTTAACATTTTTATTAATTAAGATGAAGAATTTTTTAAAAGTTAAGATCAAATTTTTGATATTTTATTATTTTTATAATATGTACTAACATTTTTTTATAAATAAATTTATGTAAATTTTTTGGTATTTTTAACTCTATATTTATCAAAGCTTTTTTATTACATCTTACAATTAGTACTATAAGTTATATCAGTCATATACAGTGTCTTAATTAATTATCGTATCCGACGTCATCACTGCAAGTATGCAACCAATATTACACTATTAGTATTGCAATACGCAAATCCATTTATGCAGGCTGTCCCGCAACGATTATACAATACTTCACCAGCATATTCTAAAACTGGTGTGAAGTTATCCATAAATCCCAGCCATAAACTTAAAACATTAATAACTCCGTAACCAATACGATTTGGGTCACCAAATGGACTTTAGGGGTGAATTTGTCCCTGATGGGCACTTCTGAAATTGATGAAATTTTAGGATGATTTAGAGGATGCCTTTAAAGATCTAAATCGACCGTCAAAACACCGGAACCCTTAACGGTTTTTGAGAAAAAATATTTGTTGTTAGACTCTAAACGCGGCACGAACTTTGGGGGTGAATTTGACTCCGATGGGCACTTCTGAACTTGATGAAATTTTAGGACGATCCAAAATTTTTGATTTTGAGGAAGATGGAACGCTGAGTGATCTACCCTTCAAAACACTTGTTTCGTGACCAATTTTTAAATGTATTAATGCGATCTCTCTCCTAAAATCTTTGATGGAAATTGACTCCTTTCCATGAATTCTTCTATATAGCAAGAAGGAGTTTACAACAGCCGTATCAATTATCCTTGCGAATATACACCTGTACCATTTCTTACCTCTTATTGCTATAGAATGTTTTTCTATGAGCCAATCATGATGGTCTATCCCACCCATGTATGGATTATAATGGTGAATCAGTCTTAGCTGAGCAGCATAAAAACAAGGAATAAAACAAGGAATATTTAACAAATTGAAAAAGAATGATGTCATAATAAATGTTTAATATGCGCACCATTTACAGTTGGTACGATATTTGTTGAGAAAAAATTCCCAGAAAGGAAAAATCACGTTCTATTCACTTTTCTTGGATTAACAGACCCACAGCTCCTAATCTGATAAATTTTAAAAGTCGTCTTCACTAGAAGTTTCACTATCAGAAGCTGTAGTAATTAAACTTTTTGTTGCCACATCAATTCGAATCTTGTTTTCTAAATAGTTATTTTCAACTTTAATAACATTTTAACAACACTTCAACCAGTCCTAAACAGTAACCGACTAAAATTCTTCTTCTGTCAGAGTATTCACAACGTTTAATTTAAATAATACATTTCTCTTCGCTAGTTTGTTTTTAACTTGAGCCCATATTATTAGTGCTATTGTTTGCCCAACTATCGGAACTATTATGACCTGCGTCTTTAGACTCACGGCTAAACCCGAATATTTCTTGTTCTAGGTTTAGTGTTAGTTTTAGTTTTACACTACCACTATAATTATAACTAAAACAAGACTTAACACTAGAATCATTCAGGTTTAGCCGTTTTGCGAGACGTGGGAGTAAATCTGAATGTTTCTAGTTCTCGGTCTAGTGTTAGTTCTAGTGGCAGTGGTAGATAGCGCTAGTTAGCATAAGATATTACTATGTTGTACATTTTTATTGAACTAAAACGAGAACTAGAAACATTCGGGTTTAGTCATGACAAAAACTTTCACTTGTCAATGTCAACTTTAATTTTATGATTATATTCGTAATCTTCTATTTTACCTTTAAAGTGAGTCCAAACTTGACGCATTTATTTCAAAAAACCAAAAAGTTCGAACTTTCAACTTTTAATTTTGACATATTTGTCATCTTCATTAAAAAACCTTTAAAATGAGTCTAAAGATGACGCACTTATCTCAAAAAACTAAAAAGTTACAATAAAAAACATCAAACCCTAAGTTAGCAACAATGAAGATAGTAATTTAATTTTTAAATATTACCAACCTTAAATTTTTATTTTACTATATTTTTGTTTTTGTGACAAATATTAAGACATTTTATAAAAATTAAGAATATGTCAAAATGACATTGACATTTCAAATCAGAAGTTCTTATATCTCGAGTAATATTGAAATTAAACGCATCATGTTTGGACTCATCTTAAAGGATTTTTCACGACGATTACAAATATGTCAAAATTGACGTTGACATTCTTAACCGGAAATTGACCATAACTTCATTAATATTGAAGATAAATATGTCATGTTTGTACTCATTTTAAAGGATTTTTTAATGAAGATTACAAATATGTCAAAATTGAGGTTGACATTTTAAACCTGAAGTTAGTTATCATATAATAGAAGTTTTATAACTGAATTTAATCTACTTTTAGTCACTTTTCCGCGCTTTCTTTTTATTTTTAACGTGTTTTTTGGGTCATTTCACATTGATTAAAAAAAATCGTCGATTTTGAAGCCACGTGTTTGTCAAAAAAGAGTGTTCTTAAATTTTAACCTGTAAACTTGTAACACTTCGTCCTTAATTTCATTTTACAACTTTTTAAACTTTAATTTTGTAAATTAGTAACTAATAATCTGATTTCGACTTTGATATGTGATCTTTTTTAACAAAACAAAAAGAAATATTAAGAAACTTGTTTGTAAAATGGATGTGATGAGAGATGTTAATCTATTTGTAGAGTCTGTGAAGATGACCAAGGGCCGAAACTGGTTAGACTTAAATTCTACATAAAATTAAAACCAGTATAAAAGTACAAAATCAATCTATAGATTTTTTTCTTCAAATATTTTTATACAAATCGTCATCATTTTGTTTTTAGTTTTAGTGATTAAATTTATGCCACGATTTACAGAAACAACCTGTATAATCGTAAAACGACCAAGCGGCCTTCTGGACAGGCTGCAAACAATTTTCAGTAGTTTGAGCCTGTCCATTCTGAGAAGTCTTATAGTTTTAGAGCGATGAAAACGAAAATCCCGTTTTTCTCAACATTATTCATTTGTCGCTTAGTCAAGTGATACATAACGCCGTCCAAATATCGTACCGGCTGTACTTCTAAACACAAACGGATACATTTTTTAACTGAACTTCTAATGCTGCACATTTTGAACTTCTTCGGAATAAACTATTTATGTTAAATGTTCCCAAAACCACAAAACGAACGGATTTAAATCTAGTGAGTGAGGTGGCCAATCCACTTATTGCCAAATTTGTCATCTAAGTATGTTGTGGTGCTGCATCATGCATAAAGTAGTAATCTTGTAGGATTTGCAGAGGTAATTCACCAAATGCCTCTGTAAGCTCATTTTGTAAAAAATATATGGTCACCTATAACATAATAATATGTATATTAACATTGAATCGCCACTGATGATGAGTTTTTAGTATTGCATTCATTACTCAAAATGTGCGCATTATAGATATTGAACAATTATACCGTGAAGGAATGTTATGTACGGTCAATTTTGGTTACAAATGTCAATCGTCGTAACAATTTAATATACGCTAATAGAGTTAGGAAGATAGAAGCTCGGAAACCACAGAAAGAACAGCTGCCAATGGAAAGGTCACTTTATGAAGAAAAGGAAGATTTATTGTATGGTCCTGGATTAGCAGACTAACAGGCAAGTCATTTGAAATTGTAGATTTTTTACTACTCGAAACTTGGACACAATATCTCAAAAACTATCAGCAGATAGTCGAGATAGACGAGAGGGCAGCGCTAAAGCGTTGAACGTATCAGATTCTCGTTTTTTGGGTCGCAGTTATCTCCCCAAAGGATCTGAACGACTCACCGAGCAAGGTATTAGTGTTCGTTCAGAGCATTGGACTGCAGGGTGAAATTTGATAATTATGATTAACTTGATTATCCATTTCACCATTAAGTTTTAATCAGTATTGGGTATTAAATATACTCAGGTGATATTTTTAGGTGATATCTAGTCTATGTTTATACAGATCTAATAACGCTTTCCTATTTCAAAGTTTCTATATTATACTGTGTTATGTCCAACCTGTCTGTTATCCTACTTTATTCTTTATGCTTATATCCTACTTTTTTTTGGACAAACAATTTGTGATTTTAGCATATCTTGGGTTTTTTAGGCATTGAGGTACTGGCCCAATCTCCAAACTCCTCTTCCAGGAGGGCTTTGACTTCGAGGTGTTCATCCTCTAGACTGGTTGCTTACCACAGCTGAAGAGTCCAATTTTAGTTCTTTTGCTTTTCAGCAAAATCGAACAGGCACTGGTAAAGTTTTTCCCAAATTATAATCAATTACAGACTTTGGTTTTATTCGCTTTATTTCTGAAGTTTCATTATAATGACTACTTTATAGAATAAAGACCATGCCTTTGTTTTTCTACTTTATAATCCTGATTCTTTGTATGTTTTATTTTCAACGCTTGTGCAGAAGTTGTTGGTTATAATGGAATCTGAATCAAAAAGATATTCATAAAATTCAAGACAACGCCATATAGAGATTGACATACATGGCTTACCCGACAGTCTATCGTTATGACATATTTCGTAGTCGGCAAAACGTAACGTTTGGAGTAATATTTGGGAGCAATTACAACTCATAGTATTCTGGCAACATCATTCGTAGTTGTTCAGAAACGTTATGGTAGTTTC